CAACTAATGTTTACTGAATACTAGGCACTGTGCTGCATTATAAGGTACAGCAGTGGTACAACAGTGTACAGGACAGATGTTCCTCCTCCCCTCAGAGAGCTTACAGTCTAGTGAGGGACACAGAGAGTTAAACAGTTAAAATGACATGTGATACAGGGTGGGGTTTTCTAAAGAATTTTAAGGATAAAACATGATCCATATAAGCCCAAAGAGTAATTATCCTCACCTCCAAAACCTGGTATTTTAAAATCCAATTAGAAAGAAATAATGTGTTTACTGGAAAAAATACTATGTAAAGTGTCAGGAGAACCAAGATTTATTCTTTCCTTTGTCTCTAACTACCCAGGTACCTTTGTGATGTGTCTAGTTTCAACCTTCTCATCTATAAAATGGGAATGATAATAGTTTCCCTGCTAGCTCATGCGATTGTTATAGGGAGTACATGAGAGAATTACAAGAAAGTGCTATAAATGTTACTGAACATTTTGTTTTCCTATAATGTAATGTGGGTTGTAAATTACTCATTCAGTCATTAATAACTCATTCATGCACTCATTCATTCAGCAAGTATTTGCTAAGCACCTGCTTGGTTGAAGATACTGTGTTAGACACTAGGCTCAGTTTCATCTTGTTGCATTATTCCATTCAAAGTATCTAGATTTATTTAGCATTAATTTTCATATTAAGTTGGAGTGGGTAGAGGAAATCTGCATTTGTTGATCCCGTATTTCAGTCTAGGGGCTCCCTTACTTGTGTAATACTCCTGAAGGAGTGGGTGGAAGTGGCCAGGAGCACGAGTGAGAGGCTGTTGGCTTAGAAATTCACTTTGTGCTTCATAGGCTAGTTTATCATCTGGAAAATACGAGTTCAATTATCTTATGAAGTTATTGCCAAATTGTTTATAATTACTTAAAAAATTTGTGTTACTCATTTTACTAGACAATATGTAACCATCAAATGAAATTTTTTGCATCAAACTAGACAGGAAAATATTTTATAAGTATTATGCATATTTTGCGTTACATTTATATTCATTAGGAAAAAACTAGTTTTCATCATATATTTGGAATACTTTACTGGGGTGTCTTTTGTAGAAAGAGAATTTACTAGAAATCTTGAAAAGTAAAGCATGATCCCAAATTATTTCTAACTTCTGGAATTTCAATTTATTTTTTTATTTTTTTTATTTTTTGTCCTTTTTCGTGTCCGGCAACAGATCACAACCCTCAGTGTTGTGCCCGTACCGGGCTGGGACCGGCAACGGGATCGCAACCCTCAGTGTTGCACCCGCACCTTGCTCAGCCAGTGAGCGGGAACTGATCTGTATGTGGGATCCGACCCCTCGGCGGGAGCGCCGCCGCGCTCCCAAGCGGCGCACTGTAGCATGCGCCACCGGGCCGGCCCCCAATTTATTTTATTTTTGTCCTAAAACACTTTATAAACATTTGAACATTTCAGCATAGAGACAATATGCTATCGTTCTGCATCATTACTCACCATCAAGATTTTTCTAGTTTAACTGCTAGTAAAAATAATCAGCATCAGTTGTCCCTCAAGAATATGCTGGTGGTGTCCTTTAATCTTCAAGAGCAACACTGTCATCCTGCTGTGTTTTCAAATAGTGTTTTTAAAAAAATGATGATGACTAATTTCTGATGACAAAAAATGCTCCTAAGAATCAGAGATGTTACCAGTAATGCCAACCCAGCTATTCAGAAACTGAGCCATGTGGCTTAAAGAAAAAGATTTTTAAAAACAAGTGTTACAAGCTTAAGAAAGAAGTAAACTTCCTCAGAGCTCAGGAGTGGGCTGCTGAGACCTAAACCAAACAACAATTTTCCATGAAGACTTTTCAGATAAAGACAATAAACTTATTGACCAAGCAAAACAACAACAAAACAAATATTATAAAATTAAAATGGCAGTGCCTGTTTCATCTAGCCTCTTCTAAAAACATATAGGCAATGTTAGACTAGCAGACGTTCCTCCAACCCTGTGATTTTATTTACACGTGGGGCAACAGACCCAAGCTATTGTTAACTTGAGACCAAGAATAAGAGCTCGGCTGACCCATCACCCCAGAGCTTAGTAGAGGCTATAGAACGTCTATCAGCAGTGCGTTCTTTGGCACTCAGTTCCATGGCTCTCGTGACCTCTACTGACAGGTACTGAGCATCTCCTGTTCATTTCAGGTTGGGCAGATAGTCTTCCATCTCCTCGTTCTGAATGGTATTAATATGGAGTCCGACTAAATGTATTCCCAAGTTTTAAAATTATACACCAAAATACAATTATTTCCCATTTTCTACTGACACTCAAAAATGTGTGCTTATTTCTTCAAAGAATAAAAAAAAATGTTAGGTTTTTTGTTCATGTGTTTTCCCTCTTCCAACATCACCTCCATATTTTCAGAAGGAAAATAGAATCTTTTTGACTAAGGCCCTCCCTTCCTAAAGAATTATTTTCCCCATTTTTTCCCCTTCTTTCATCAACTGCTGCTGCCTACAGAGCCATCTCTGAATAGAATAAGCTTTGTCCTTAGCAGGATGGACAAAAGGTTAAATGAAGGAGGCAGCAGGCAGTTTTTGTCCTTACCTGGCTGAACCAGAGGACAGCAAATCAGTGTTCATCTGCTCTGTTCAGGTGCTTTTTAGCCCCCGCTCTCTTTATTTGCAGTATTTCCTTTCCCTTCCTGCATGCCCTCTAAGCCATGGGTGCAATTCCAATTTTACATAAGCAAGAATCTAGAACAGCCTGGGTTTTCTCTACAGTTACATTTTTTGTTATGTCCAGTCTTAGTTGTACAACTCTTGTTTTTTAATTATGTTTCTTTAAGTGGTCCTCAGTTCCTCATCTTGCTAAATTCCATGCTTTTCTTAAGAGAAGCTGACCTGCCCCCATTACCTTTTAAAAAGTATTTATAAACTGAGCGGTTTAGAATTATTTCTTTTTCTGGTTCTTCGGTTTTGCTGTACCTGTTACCCAGCTGTTATTCAGACATTGGGGGAATGACCAAAAGTGAATACCACATTAGTACATACCTCCTTCAAGGTACCCCTTCCTCTGTCCCCCACCACCAGATACCAGCACACCTTTTTCTTTTTCTTTTTTTTTTTTTTGCTTTTTTGTGACTGGTAAGGGGATCGCAACCCTTGGCTTGGTGTTGTCCGCACTGCGCTCAGCCACTGAGCACACCGGCCATCCCTATATAGGATCCGAACCCGTGGCCTCGGTGCTCCCAGCGCCGCTGCACCCCCAGCGCCACACTCTCCCGAGTGAGCCACAGGGTCGTCCCAGCACACCATTTTTAAAGAGTGTTCACTGATACCATATACATGCATATTATGGGTATTCTATGTGGAGCAAATACAGAAGACCCTCTCTTCTAATATGTTTGAGATAAAATAGAACAGTTTCCCTCACAACGTGGAAGATGTTCTGTTGAGGATCTGGATCTCAAATTTTTCTTTCACATTAAGTGAGTATAGATGAGATAGGGAGATACTGAGTAAACTTGACAGAGTCCATGGCTTCAAAAAAAATGACTGCTATGTGAGTCTGGTGAGAACTGGGTGATCTAAGATTGTTCTGCACAGCAGTTCTGTTGTTGATTTTTTTCTGAGTTCAATACATCACCAGTTTCACTTCCTAAACCCACAAATCTGTTTCAGAAGAGTCTCTTCCCATGCAGTGCTTCAGTGTGTGTTTGACATTATCCACCATCAGTGTGTCCTTGTCTGCTCTTTCCTAAGACACTACATTGATGTCTAAAAACAAAATATCGAATTGCTCTTTTGAATATAAATGAAATTATAAAACTGAGGCATGGTTTTCTCTCTCTAACTATGAAACTTTAAACTTCCTTCCTGGTCATCGTTGAGCAAAGCTCATTCTGTTTCCATCCATTAATATTTACATAGTCATATTGAAATAAGTTATAAAAACTTCTTTTGAAACAAAAAACAGATACCTGTTAACCTGTACATGCTTTTGCTTTTTTTCCCCCCTGCCTCAGCTCTCCCTTTAAAAAATAGTAAGATGATGGGCCGGCCCAGTGGCGCACTGCTATAGTGCGCCGCTTGGGAAGTGCGGTGGCGCTCCCGCCGAGGGTGCAGATCCCACATACAGACCGGTTCCTGCTCACTGGCTGAGCGAGGCGCGGGAGCAACACGGAGGGTTGTGATCCCGTTGCCGGTCCCGGTCCGGTACGGGGGGTGACACTGAGGGTTGCGATCCGTTGCCGGACATGGAAAAAGACAAAAAAAAAAAAAATAGTAAGATGAGAATATGTCCTTGGATTAATTTCCTTTTGTCTTTCTTATTCATTTAATCTAGAAAGTGCCTTGTCAAGATATCTTTTATAATTTCAGGAAGAATACACTGCCTATGAGATACTGAATTTTTGAAAATAAATCATAAGTAAATCCAGTACAGATGGTCCCCAATTTATGATGGATCAACGTACGATTTTTGGACTTTATTGGGATGTAACCCCATTGTAAGTCGAGGAGCATCTGTATATGAAAATCATCCTGTTATTTTTATAACATCTGTGGCCTTATGGTTTGTTAAATGCACTGAAGATCAAGCGTCTAGGTTCTTCTAAGAGTGCTGCGTGAGAGGGTGGGATCTTGGCAAAACTCCAAAGCAAGGCTCCTCTCCTATTGTTTCTCCTTGGTTGGAATATTAGTTTTAATTATTATCTCTTTGTGGAATCCCAGTATATTTTAATCATGTTAATATGCAGCTACAAATTAATAAGAGAAGACTGGCATTTGCCTTAAAAAAGTGATTTTGCAAAGGCTTATTGTTCTGGAAGACAAGTTTGGTAGCATACAGTTTAGGTCTTGCGGGGAGAGAGTTCTCTCTTTTAAAAAGTGTAGTGAAAAACAATAATGTATTCTCAGGCTACTTATGGAAGCCTGAATTATTCTTTTGCTAAAACTGAGAAATCTAATTCCCTCATGCTTAATTTCTGTGACTTTATCATTTATTTTTAGGTACTAAAGGAAGAAATAAAGGAGAGTTTACAAATCTTCAGGGGGTAGCTGCATCTACAAGTGGAAAGATACTAATTGCAGACAGTAACAACCAATGTGTGCAGGTATAGCCCCTAACTGTATATCTTTAACTACTTACATTGATAAAGTATAGTTGCATATTTTCTTACTTTAGACTTAAGATACATGGCACAAGGGAAGAAGTTTATTATGTGTATGTAGACTATTTTTCTTAAATAGAGTTTGCATGTTCTGACCTGTAGTATATATGACAAATGTTCTTGCCTATTTCTTGCTCAGCAATTTCTGTGCTGGTTCACATTCCAATGAATGTAATTTGTTTTACAGGTATTTTCCAATGATGGCCAGTTCAAAAGTCGTTTTGGCATACGAGGACGCTCTCCTGGGCAGCTGCAGCGGCCCACAGGAGTAGCTGTACATCCCAGTGGGGACATAATCATTGCAGATTATGATAATAAATGGGTTAGCATTTTCTCTTCAGATGGGAAATTTAAGGTAAGATTAACCACCAAGTGGCCACTAAACAATAGAGAGAAGGGATAGGAAATACAAGATGAAATTATCTTTTTATTTTTTGAGATCCAACACAATAGTCAACAATTCTTCATACACAAAGACATCGATTAACCACCAAGTGGCCACTAAACAATAGAGAGAAGGGATAGGAAATACAAGATGAAATTGTCTTTTTATTTTTTGAGATCCAACACAATAGTCAACAATTCTTCATACACAAAGACATATTGACATCTAAGTTTTATGAAGCCAGAGTAACAATGACATTTTCATAAATCTACTCATATGTACCCTAAATGTGGCTTCATTTTATAAAGCAATTAGGTTGCTCACTTTTTAAAAAAAATACCATATATTTAGAGGGAAATTGTTCCTGATACCTCAATTTAATGAAAAACAGCAACCCTTTGTTGAAAGGGTTATCAAGAGTTTGTTTATATTTCTCAAATTAATCTACAGGTTGTCACTTATGAAGTGACTTCTACTTTGCCAGGCCTGTGACAGATTATATGGGAGAAACAGAAATGTAAGACATGGTTTCCATCTCTTAAAAATGTACAAGCCCATTTAGGAAAAAAAACTAATGCACAAGAAATGACAGAAAATAGCTCATGTCAGCCTCTAATCAGTCATAAATTGTTTAGTGCAACCTAAAAACAGTGTTAAAGTATGTAATATGGGATTTGGAAAGTAAAGAAAATGAAGCCTAAATTTACAGAAAAAGCACAAGTTGAGCTTCATTTTGAAGGATCCCATTATTTGACATATTTGCTGTCACTCCCATCGTCATCTTTGGAAGTAAGCTTATATAACATAAAAATGGCTTATATTTCTTCAGCAAGTCCTCAAAGAGTAAAGAGCTCTCTGGTGATAGAAATCTCTCTTCTAAGGAGTCATCAAAGAATTGTATCATTGAGCCCATTTTCTACATTTGTTCACAAGAAGATCATAAGACACCTTGTCAAAGACCTTTTTGAAGGTCATATGCACCATGCCTTCTGTAGTCCCCCATCCAGTCTGCCAGAGGCTTCTATTTCAGTTGACAACATGTACTTGAACTCAGATGGATCAACCCACTGGAATCCCAGCTCTGCGCTTTATTAACTGTTTGGCCTTCAACAAAATTATATAATTTCCGGGCCGGCCCGGTGGCGCACTGCTACAGTGCGCCGCTTGAGAGCGCGGTGGCACTCCCGCCTGAGGGTTCGGATCCCACATACAGACCGGTTCCCGCTCACTGGCTGAGCGAGGGGCGGGCGCAGCACCGAGGGTTGCGATCCCGTTGCCGGTCCTGGTCCGGTACGGGTGCGACACTGAGGGTTGCGGTCCGTTGCCGGACACGAAAAAAGGAAAAAAAAAAAAATTTATATAATTTCCTTGAGACTCAATAGCCTCATATTTAAATTTTGGATTTAAAAAAAATCCATCTCAGGATCTGAGTAAGGACTAAATGAGATTTTACTTATGGATTTTATATGTGCCTCACTTGAAATAGGCATCTAAGAAATGTTCTTTCCCGTGCTTCTGGCAATCTTGCCCATAAAGGGAGGTCTGTTTGATCAGCATCATGACCACGTGCAAGTGCCTGGTGGTCATCACTTCCTCATCTAAATGTTAGAAGTTGCTGCTTTTCATAATCCATTCTGAAATCCTGAAGATTACCAGAAGTTCACTCATTAGCCTCTTATTGGAGGAATATATATTTTCCTTTAAAGTCTTTAGATTGCTATAGTTACCTCAGTGTTTTTATAAAAACGAGTTACCGATGTTATTGTTAGCTCTCAGATTGGAGTCTCTCTTTTGTGAGAAGCAGCATCTTTTCAATCTAGAATAAAAAGCTGTTACATTTAATTCCACGGTATTGTACACAGTTCTTCAGTTGCCCTTGAATTTTTTGTTTGACTAGAAATTTGATGGCTCCATGTGATGGCCATGTGTACAGAAAGATCTCTTGCCTTTCTTTCCCTCTAACTTTTTCCCCTTCTTTTTTATTTTCATGATTGTGTTTGTGGTAAGACATACCTACATATGACAACTTTAACATGAATAGAATGAAAACTATTCAGTGATCTCTTAAAATGTTCACCTAGTTTGGAGACAACTCTTCATTCTTGTTTCGTACTCTAGCAAAATGATGACTTGTCTTCGTAAATTCAGGAGCTAACACTAAAATAGATTTCACATGTTGAGACAGGAGTTATATATTGAGAAAAAAAGCTTTCCTGACTTAAGCATTTTTCATTCAGTGGTTCCATAGTCATAGGCATTCTTCTTGGAGGAACTGGCTTCTGTTGGAATACAATTGGTAATAATCAGAATAAACACTAAAGAACACTCATACCCCCTAGAGGATTCAGGGAATGGATACGGTACAGTCTCAGCAATATCCTTTTTTCTGATAGGTGTTTATTAAAACCGTAAAAGGATAGCACATAAAAACACTTTAGCACTGTCATGGGAGTTCATGCAAGTGTGATGTCTGTGACTATATATCAAGAGATACTTATTTTCTTCTTTGGTGGGACTCAGTAAAATTAAATAGGTGCTGAGAAAGACATTCCTTTTACACTAATGCAAAATCTTTTTGTTTATTCCTAATCGTTTCAGGGATGTAACATCTTATGTCCTCCTTTCTTTAATTCACTAACTTCTCAGCCCTAATTTTGACTCCTCTCTGCCTCCTCTAATTTTTTCCTTTCCATCTTCCATCCTGACATATCTTCTAGCCCTCTGGTCACCATATTCTAAAATATCCCATCTCTTCCTTCGTCAGTTTAAGAATGTATTTGTTGAGTTAGAAGCTCTCTCATTCAGTCATTCCACATCCACGGTCTAAAATACTTTTGCCTACTATTCTGTTTAAGATGGGGAACACACAGTCAGGCCAAATGCAGTGATTCTTGTTTCACTTGGTAGAATCCAGTGCGGCTAAACTAGGAGTGATGGAGGGAAATGGAAGGTAAAGAAGTTTTGGTTCAACATTTAAGTCATTCTTTTAGATCTGCCCTAGTTATCACTACTTGACAGAATGGGGATAATCCTTTATTTTCTGTTTTTATTCTAGATAATTATCCATTTGGTATTATATGGTTAAGTCATTCTAAGTAACTATTAGCATTCATAATGTCAGGTAGTAATAATATTTTTGTCTCAATAATCAGAGTGCCATCTCCTTCTTTTGATCTCTGCTGACATATCTTCCATTCAGACATGAAAGAACAAATACCATTTCTTTACACACCGTTTTGTTACAGCCTCTTTGATCTTTGGGCTAGATTGCAGAATCAGAATCAAATTTACACAACAAATATCCTTGCCAAGAAAACTATTATTTCCTTCTTAGTAATTTTGTCCCTTTGCTCTAAAGAGATCAAATCTGAATCTCAGTCATTTATAAACTTAGAAGAATAAAGGATCATACTAAGTCTGAAAACCACTATGAGAGTCTTCATCCCTGTACTAGAAAATTTAAAGACATATACGTGACTCATGTTGCATTTCTATCAAATGGTGCTAATATATAGAGAGAAAATGACAGGGCTAAAGCAGAACTTATGAGAATGTAACTTTTTTGGGTTTTAATTTTTAATTTAAAAAGACTTGCAAACAGATTTTTAAACTAAGCCTACAAACAAGGATAAAATGAAAAGTAAAAGTTTCTTTTGCCACCACTAACACCACTTTCTAAGATACAGGTACTAAGTGGTTTCTCACTTTTCCTTCTGGAAGTATATGTTCATATATGCACAGATTTAATGCATGTGGGCTCAGACCATACTCACTGTTCTGTAACTTGCTTTGTTCAATAATATATCTGAGAAATCTTTCATAAAAAGACACACAGGTCTGTCTAAGCCTGGGTGCAAGGGAGAACTGGGGTTCATATAGTTCTCCTGATTTAACATGCTCTCTCTTCTGCTGTCCCTTGCCTTGTGTGCGCCTTCTCCTCCCCTGTCTGCAGTGACCTGTCTCATCAATGTATTGTTCCCACGTGCCTTCTGAGGTAGCCTATTTGAATTCTTCCAAACCTATCTGCTGTCCCTTGCCTTGTGTGCGCCTTCTCCTCCCCTGTCTGCAGTGACCTGTCTCATCAAGGTATTGTTCCCACGTGCCTTCTGAGGTAGCCTATTTGAATTCTTCCAAACCTACCAATTTGAAGACTCAATACCAGGCACTTTAACAAGGGAACAGTAGACATTTTTGTCTCTGCAGTGTGACTGAGACATTCTTGAGCACAGAAGCTGTGCATCATTCGTGTTTGTTTTCTACATGCCTAGAACACAATGTCAGGTACATGGTGGGTGCTCAGGCAGTGTTTGTAGAATTAGTAAGTAAACGGGTGAATGAGTGAAGCACTTTTTTAATGTAGTCTAGAAAATAGATCCATAAAAATAAAAGTAAAGGTATAAGACCTGGGGAGGGGGGGAGGAAAATAAAGGAGGAATTGGTAAAGGGCCACAAAAAACAATCACATTGCACAATGTTGAATATATGGATTATCCTGATTTGAGCATCACATATTGCACACAGGTAATGATATTCAACACAGTACCCCACAGATATGTACAATCAACTATATTATAATTTTTTTTTTTTTTTTGTCTTTTCCGTGACCGGTAAGGGGATCGCAACCCTTGGTGTGGTGTCGCCCACACCGCGCTCAGCCAGTGAGCGCACTGGCCATTCCCATGTAGGATCCGAACCCACGGTGGGAGCGTCGCTGCACTCCCAGCGCCGCACTCTCCCGAGTGCGCCACGGGGTCGGCTCAACTACATTACAATTTTAAAAAAGGTATAAGACCTGCATTTCATAGCAAATAGGCATTTACATACACATTGTAGTCTACTCAGGAACATGAATGAGATTTAAAATGCTTATGGTATATGGATGATAGAAATCTAGTGCTTTTCTCCTGTTTTAAAATAGTGTGAAAAGTGGAACCATTTAATCACCATAGTTCTTTTTAATATATTCAACAAATATTTGTTGAGTATCTATTATGCACCAAGAAGTAGGGTAGGCTCTGAATACACAGTGGTGGACAAAATAGACATGACTTTGACTCATGTAGAACTTAATTCTAGTAACGTTCAATGGCAGGTGCCTGACTGACAATTTTGATATAAATTATGATATATAACAGTGGTAATGATGGTTTCCCTCTAGTGACTGCTTAATATGGGCTATACTCTACACTAAACACTTTATCTACATTATTTTACTTAATACATATTCCAAAAATACCAGTGGAAATTATTCAGGTCATTTTTCGACATTTTTAAATGCATAAGGAATCTGAAGTTTAAGGAAATTAAATCCATGGTGCTATCCCAGGTGTGTTCAAAGCAAGTAACAGAAGCAGGCCAGTCTTCTGCTAATCTGGGGATCTTTCACTATACCACACTGCCTCCTTACCAGGGAGTTGGGACCCCAGTTTAAGAAATTCCAGAACATTTTTGGCGGTGATCTCTTTTATTTATTTATTTGTTTATTTATTTATTTATAAATAAGATTTCATATAAATAGCAGTAGCAAACAATGGATGCGACAAAGCTCCAGTTTTCCAGGACAGAAGATCATTGTGATATACAAGTAGCTGTGCCTCCCTGTTTGAGCATTCAAGTAAATGTTTACTAAAACAAAAGTCTGTCTTTGTGTTCTGTAGTGTTTTAATCTTTGATGTCTGTACCTGATTTCTGTACTTGTCTCTAATAGACGAAAATTGGATCAGGAAAGCTGATGGGGCCCAAAGGAGTTTCTGTGGACCGCAATGGGCACATTATTGTGGTAGACAACAAGGCATGCTGCGTGTTTATCTTCCAGCCCAATGGGAAAATAGTCACCAGGTTTGGTAGCCGAGGAAATGGGGACAGACAGTTTGCAGGTACACTTGACGGTAATATGTAAACCCCCTTTTTAATGCTGCTTCTGCTCACATTTGCATGATGTTGGAACATGTTGAAGATGCCACATCCCCCGTGTGTTTGCTGGCTTTGGGAAAGATGCTGGGGATGAAATCTAAGCATGGTTAATGCTTCTCAGTTACCCTGCCAGCAGTAAGTTGAATTGCAGTCCACGTGTGATTTTTATTGGTGGCGGCTTACAACTCAGAATTCTAATCTTCAAATATATTAAATAAAATATAAATTTGAAAATAAAATATTTAAAAAATAAAAGCGTTTGAAGAACAGTGGAGTAATTCTTGTTTCCATCTATCTGTAGTTTTATTTAAAGAGCCTCTCAAAGAGAATTTTTTTCTCTTTTCTAGGTTATTATAAGAGAACAGGAGTTCAGAATATTTGCCGAGTACAGAGAGGGTAGTCTCTTACTTCTCTTTTCAGTGTACCTACCGCTTTGCAATCACTAGCTTACTTAGGTTTTCACATCTGCAAAAGAGGCTGAAAACAATTTATTAATTTTCCTTTGAAAGGATGCCTTTGGCATTTAACATTAATTTGCGTAATCTTTCTTTTTGCTTTGTCTTCAGTTCCGCCAGTTTCTGAATGTCACCCAAAATTATAAAGTGTGGGTTTTCCGGCGCCGGCCCGGTGGTGCACTGCTACAGTACGCCGCTTGGGAGCGCGGCGGCGCTCCCGCCGAGGGTTCGGATCCC